CCAAATAATGTCATTTAGACCGCACTATTGTAATTTTGAATATTCTGCAAGAAATGCTTCATAGCGTTCTTGCCCTGAAAGTAATGAATTTAGTGGTTCAGGTAGCGTCGTCTGTTGTGATAATTTGACCTTTCCATTCGTAAAACATTATCCTGGCGGTACGAGTCGAAACCTCAAAGCATTACAATAGTGTATAAACAAATAGCGCTCATTGTTCAAAAATCGACTGATTTATCGTCGGCGTAATTGACTATTGTATTATATCTAAACGCCAAATGTTCTTAGGTTATTGTTACGTTTGATCGTCTGTTTTGTTGCCCCTCACATGAAGTCGATGGTATGGGTTCTTCCGGAGTCGTCGTAGATCTCGCTTGAGAAATTTTCATTCTGTTTACCTCCAAACGTTGCCTACGCTCTTCTTTGTCTAGAAGATTGTGAACGTAAATAACGGTCAGCGTACACGTAAAGTTACGTTATTTTGATACCTCACTGGTGGCATTTTTCTATCAATAACAATAAATAACACGACGGTAAACCTCTAAAGACATATCAAAACACCGTTTTGCTGTTACTAAAGAAGTGGTAATCTATACTAATATTATACAGCTGAAGAGTTTGTTTGTTTGTTTGCTTGAACGCGCTAATCCCAGGAACTAATAGTCTGATTTGAAAAATTATTGCAGTATTAGATAGCCCATTTATCAAGGAAGGCTATAGGCTATATATCATCATACTGACACCAATAGCAGCGGAGCACCAATGAAGAATGTTGCAAAAACAGGAAAAAAAAAGTCCTTTTGAAAGACGTAGACGAAGTTGCGCGGGTCAGCTAATTGTATATAACGGAGAACTTTTGTCTGACTTTTTTTTTAAAAGAGTGACGTCGCAAAAGCTTACATCACTTTTACATTGTCGTGGTTCTTTCATAAAAGCTGTAGTACATTACAACAACAGTAAATACAATTAAAGATGTATTCCAGATTCTTACCAACAGTTGTGCATGGTGTGATAATTTGACCTTACCATTCGTAAAACATTATCCTGGCGGTACGAGTCGAAACCTCAAAGCATTACAATAGTGTATAAACAAATAGCGCTCATTGTTCAAAAATCGACTGATTTATCGTCGGCGTAATTGACTGTTGTATTATATCTAAACGCCAAGCGTTCTTAGGTTATTGTTACGTTTGATCGTCTGTTTTGTTGCCCCTCGCATGAAGTTGATGGTATGGGTTTTCCGGAGTCGTCGTAGATCTCGCTTGAAAAATTTTCATTCTGTTTACCTCCAAACGTTGCCTACGCTCTTCTTTGTCTAGAAGATTGTGAACGTAAATAACGGTCAGCGTACACGTAAAGTTACGTTATTTTGATACCTCACTGGTGGCATTTTTCTATCAATAACAATAAATAACACGACGGTAAACCTCTAAAGACATATCAAAACACCGTTCTGCTGTTACTAAAGAAGTGGTAATCTATACTAATATTATACAGCTGAAGAGTTTGTATGTTTGTTTGCTTGAACGCGCTAATCCCAAGAACTAATAGTCTGATTTGAAAAATTATTGCAGTGTTAGATAGCCCATTTATCAAGGAAGGCTATAGGCTACATATCTAAGACCAATAGCAGCGGAGCACTAATCAAGAATGTTGCAAAAACAGGGACAAATTAGTCCTTTTGAAAGACGTAGACGAAGTTGCGCGGGTCAGCTAATCTATACTAATATTATAAAGCTGAAGAGTTTGTTTGTTTGTTTGTTTGTTTGAACGCGCTAATCTCAGGAACTTCTGGTCCGATTTGAAAAATTCTTTCAGTGTTAGATAGCCCATTTATCGAGGAAGGCTATATGCTATATATCATCACGCTAAGAGCAATAGGAGCGGAGCACCAATGAAGAATGTTTCAAAAACGGAGAAAATTTATTACTTGAGTCAGCTAGTTGTATATAACGGAGGACTGTTGTCTGACTTTTTTTAAAAGAGTGACTTCGGAAAAGCTTACATCACTTTTACATTGTCGTGGTTCTTTCATAAAGGCTGTAGTATATAACAACAACAGTAAATACAATTAAGATGTATTCCAGGTTCTTACCAACAGTTGTACATGGATCCGTACAGTACGACGGCAGTAAATAAGAACAACAGTTAATACAATTAAAGATGTATTCCAAGGTCTTACCTACAATCGTATGGTAGTAAATACTATGAAAGATGCATTCCTAGGTTGTACTAATAGTCGTATATAGATCCGTACAGCCGATAGGGCAGTGCGAGAATGAGCGATCTCGCGCAATGCAGCTCGTTTTTAGGTTGCCATACATTTTTTTTTTTTCCGTGCGGGCATCCCCTCGAATGCCACCGACAGGTGGTATCCGAGGGACTCGAACCGACTAAAACTGCACGCCGTCTCGTATATTAATAGCCGGGGAACCAGTTATACCCTAGAAAGGAAGTCCCTGGTGCCCCGACATACCTCGGGTCATCTACAGACGAGTAGACGACCCCCCCCATGTGGGAACCCCATGATCCCTGTGCTCCCTGGAAGCGAGCGCGCTTCGCAACGCGCTCGCCGCCCGGCCTGCTTCTGCTAGGGTGACAGATGGCCTCATCTGTCACCCCCAGGCCTGCGCTTATGGAGGACGGAGGTCGTTCTGCGACCTCCGGCGCCTGAGTCGCCTGCGGTACCTAGCCCGTTCCCGGGCCTGGCAGGCCGGGAGAGTTTTAAACCTCTCCCGGTCCCGCTCCGCCGTCTCCTTCGCGAGCATAACTTGCTCGCAGAAGGAGACGGCAGAGTTCCACGCACTCTCGCTCCGCACGATAGCCGCAATCAGGCTATCGAGCGAGAGAACTCCCACTCCGATGGCCGCCACGAGGTCTCGCCTCTGCTCAACCCACGCCGGGCACTCTGCCAGCGTGTGGAGAGCCGTGTCCACGGTCTGGCCATCGCAGTGGTGGCACTCAGGCGTTGGCTCCTTGCGGATCAGACACAGGTGATACCCGAAACATCCTTTCCCAGTAATCACCTGCGTCAGTCGGTATGAGAGGATCCCGTGACGCCTCTCGAGCCAATCCTCTACCCTAAGGGTAAAACAGGAACCTATTACTAAGACTCCGCTGTCCGTCTGTCACCAGGCTGTATCTCATGAACCGTGATAGTTGAAATTTTGGCAGATTATGTGTTTCTATTGCCGCTATAATAACAAATACTAAAAACAGAAAAAAACAAATATTTAAGGAGGGCTCCTATACAAACAACCTGCTTTTATAGATAATGGTAGGGAACCTTCGTGCGCGAATCCGACTCGCACTTGCTATAACGTGCACGTTATAGCAATATTATCCTGGTATTTTTAAATAATATTATTCTTCAGGTTATTTCTGAATACTAACTATTAAAACTTCAATTATAATTAACTTGAATCTAATTTAAATCAATCAAATTATTTTTATTAAGTGACGTAGATTGTAGTGCCGCCGTATATATATATATCGCCGTATATATCCATTCGTTTTTTAAATTTTCTTTTATACAAACCTTGTTCTGACAATAAGAAACACAAAGAAAAAAGAATTATCCAATTCGGTGCAGTCGTTCAGAAGTTATGCGCGTACATACATTTCTTTGATTCATTTTTATTAGGGTTCCGTATCTCAAAAGGTAAAAAAAGGAACCTTTATAAGATCAGTCGCTTGTCTGTCTGTCGGTCCATGTGTCACCACCGATTTTCTCAGGAACGGATGGACCTAGCAAATTAAAATTTATACCAGATATGATACGACGATTTACGTATTCCGTGACCTTTGTTCAAAGTTATAGTGTTGTAAACGCATTGTCAAGGCCACAGAAGAAAGAGTTTTAGTGCGGAAGAAAAAAACAGGTCCGGGCAGCTAAAAACAAATAATATGCGAGCACGAAAGGTACTCGTAGTAAGAAAAAAATAAAGTACGAACCTTTCTCTTAGCCTTATTCCTTCAATGCCACTGTTTTAATCGACTTGAACTTTAACTTTGAAAGCTACTTTCTTACTAACTTAAGCCCATTTTTGCTTGTCTAAGATAAGATTAAAAAGAGACTAAAATTGATCTACTATTGCCTTAAACCCAAACAAAATCTCTACCAACAGATTGGGCAGATATTCATTATATATTTTTATTTATTTTTCTTCGGACATCTGACACACAACGCCATCTAGCTTTAAACTAAGCAGAGCATGTACTATGAAAGCTAGATTGACTGATAGAATACTTATTTACTTTTTTTTTGTAAGTACATACATATTAATATAGAAAACATACATAACATAACCTTATAGATATCGCAGGCTGGCAGATAATCTGGACGAACTAATGGACATCGCTGGTTTCTGTTCACTAAGCCTAGTATGCCTATGTCTATTCTGTAACTTAAGACGTGTCGGAGAAATACCCTTCCTGTGCAATCTATACAAATAAATTGAAAAATTGAAGTGTCTGTTTGTAATGTCAAAATTATAGGTTTTTTCATGCTCACACGGTTATTTGCACAATACGTTTGCCTAAAAAGCACTTTTCTTTTTTTTGTCTCTCTGTCTGTTTGTTCCGGGTAATCTTCTAAACGGCTGGGCCAATTTTGATAATATTTTACTACCAGGTAGCTACCTACATAAGGAATAGCTTAGGCTATAAGGAATAACTTGGAATAACTTAACCATAAAATTCAGTCCATACTAAAAACATATTTAGACGTTTCTCGCAAAAAGTTAAAAAAAAGCAGATAAAAACTTGTAAAGCTGAATTAAGTACCGCCAAATTCCGCTTTGTTTATCATATTTTTAAAGATATATCTTAAAAATATGATAAACAAAGCGGAATTTTGCCAAGGCCGGGCAACGAACTTACTAAGGCAGCGCTTTTCAAATTCTACGCGAACGAAGTCGCAGGTGCCAGCTAGTAATAAATAAAACTCAAATTTAAAAAAAAATCATATATTTAAGTAAGATTTAACACAGTTTTAATTTTTTCTAACGCGCCTTTATTAATTTCTGGTGATCCGTGTATTCTATATTAATTCCTTCCTTTGCAGGATTTTTCCTTTTCTTATAACTACGGATGTAGAAATTCATAAATAGAGCGAAGAAGGAACAAATGAGGAACAAACAGAAATTGTGGAAAAAGGTAGGAAGAGGACATGGAGAGAACTTCTGCTGGCAGTGAAGGTGAGACAGCACTAGAATGAACTGGACCTGAAACAAAAACAGGTTATTATTTTTTAATGGTGTTTCATAATTAGGTTTTTTTTCTAACGGTAAGCCCATTAAATAATTTTATTTTTATAATTTTTTACCCATTTACTAATACTGGTCAATCGGTAAACAATATTGACAAGAATGACGTGACAAGAATTGAGATATTCATTTAGTAATATGAAACCATATTCCTCAAGTTTTAGAGTTTCACATTACATCATCATCACATCAACAGCCTTTAATAGCCCACTGCTGGACATAGGTTTTGGCCTACTATACCACGCTGGCCAGACGGGTTGGTATAGGATTTGTGTCAAGTTTTCCTTCTTTTTGTAGTGCTGGTGTCCTGCATTGTTTTGCGCCCTTAGTCGGTTCTTACGGCACCCACGGGATGAATTGGGGTAGTGACATTAGGTATTCTTAATTCGTCACTACACGGATAGAGTTTACTATCTGCCAATTCCGCATCTAACTAGAGGTGACCCCCCATCATTATATTCAAAATGACATGATCTGAACTTGTGTATGTATGCCGTGAGCAGTTCATTACTTAGGTAATAGATTTTATATCAATCACAATACTCGTATTATCATTTCAATTCCTGAGTCGGACCATTGTATCTATGATCTGCAAATAATGGTTTGGAATTTGGGTGTTTTCTATGTATAATGTGTATTTCCAAAAAAAGTATCCAAGTATTCTATCAGTCAATCTTGCTTTCATAGTACAAGCTCTGCTTAGTTTGACGTTGTGTGCTAGATGTCCGAAAATGTTATTATTATTTATTTCAAATTTTTCAGCGAGCCCGACGCCCGTCTTGACTAAATACAATAATAGATATTATTTATATATAAAATATATATTATTGTATGTTATAAATATAATATTATATTAATGCTAAAATTAGCATTGAGGTTTGACACGCACCAAAAAATACAGTAAATAAAAACATAACCTCGTTTAATTAAAAAAAAATGGTGAACAAACAATTATTTTAGTAACAATTATTCAAACAAATTTAATTTATTTACGCACGTAGTATTTTAATATAACGGTTTTTTGTGTGTTTATATAAATATTTCATAAAGTCCGAATTTTGTATGCAAATGTATTACTTACGAGTATAACAACAGTAATATTAATTAAGTTACTTGAATTCACGAGGACTAGTTTTATTTATTGGGGTTGAGGTTAGTATTATTTACAGTATTTTTATATATTATTAAACTTTAATAAAAACACTGATGTTTCATCACCATGTTGATGATGATGACCATCGTTGATTCGTTTTTAACACGCTTTTATTAGCTTCACCTGTATGTTTGTTTGTTTGTTTGTTTGTTTGTATGTAACCGACTCCTTTGAGCTCGATTTTGCCCTACTTTGAACGATCAGATTTGATTCAAACTTTGCACACCTGTCAAAGGTCGATGACCTTTGACACCAAAAACACGCTTTTATAGAAAATCCAACTAAAAAACAGAAAATAAAGTTTAATAAATTTGGATTAAGAATAGTGTAAATTTGATTAAGTTTGATTAAGTACAGTGTAAAAAAAAATGAATGTACATTATTGTAAAAAAAAGCGTGGGGTGCATAGTGTCAATAGTTATAAACATTTATTGTCAGATGAGTAGAAAAATCATCACTTTGATAATATCATAAAAAGCACTTCAGATACACCCCACGCTTTTTTACTGTAATGTACATTCATTTTTTTTTACACTGTACTTAATCAAAGTTAATCAAATTTACACTATTCTTAATCCAAATTTATTAAACTTTATTTTCTGTTTTTTAGTTGGATTTTCTATAAAAGCGTGTTTTTAATTTTAGTTTTTTTAAACTATTATTTATTTTTCATTTTTTATTTCTGATTCATTCGTCGTTATGATTCATAACCGTTATAACATCTTCAATATTGTATTCCTACCCATTTTACAATTTTATTTTGGGTAGTATTATGACTTTGTTAAATGATTTTGACTGATGTTTCTCCTGGGAGTCTGCAAGCTTAATGTTAATTTTTCCAATATCATTGTTTTTATGATGATGGGATGAGGTAAAAAGGTTAATTATGGGAGGGTAAGCAGGACGAGGGCGCTAGAGTAATAGATACCACAAATATTGGATGGAACCAGGACTGAGAGTGCAGTATTTTGAAGAGGTCGATAGCACTCTTTAATAATAATAACCTCACACATCTCACACGCGGCCGTCTAACTAAACTAGGTAGAGCCTGTACTATGGTAACCAGACTGTAGATAAACGTAGTTATAGATATCTGAATTCATATTATTATAGATAAAATACACCTAGACACAGAATAAACGATGGTGCTCATCAAATAATTATTTGTCCTAGGTGGGAATTGAACCCACGACTTTTGGCTCACCAGTCAGGATATCTAACCACTAGAGCAACAGGCCCGTCAAATTATGAAGGCAAAAAACAAGAACAACTGGCCAATATTCTGATAAATATAGAAAATGAAAGGAATGGCCCGCAAATAACCATATTTGATACTTTTAGCAAGACCAGTACCTAAAACCAAGGTAATTAAAAAAAAACCGTCCTTGGCACTGTAGCATCCTATCTCTCACGGTACTCACCAATTGGAACTTGGTTAAATGCTTCTTCCACCAAACATACTTCTGATATTCGGGCCCCAAAGCTGATATTCCATAATAGGCATACATGATCACATGGATGAAACTATTGAGCATCCCCACTACCACAAAGTGATCTGTTGGGTGGTACATCAAGTGCAACCAGGTCCATGTCACCATTGTGGTGTGGTGGTATAGATGGAGAAACGTTACTTGGTTGTCTTTCTTTCGCAGTACGAAGAACACTGTGTCTAATAAATCCAAATGTTTAGCAATAAAGTAAGGGTAGATGTCGAAAATTACCTGAAAAAATTAATTAAAACTTACATACACATAGAAAACTTATTTATTATGTTTGGGTAAATGAAGAGACGGATCACCTGATGGTAAGTAAGTACCGACGCCCACGGAATCCTTAACTCAAGAGTCACAACAGTGCATTGACAGCCTATAAGTCCCCCCCTCATTCGGTGAAATGCAATGAAAGAATTGTCTCAAAGCGGTTTGTGTCCGTGATATACATTTCGATTAGATTTATAATAAAAACACTTAAACAAAAGACAACGAAAACACTGTACCTTATTGTAATGCAAATTATAAATTTAAAACTATTTTAAGTAAACTAAAAAATTAAACATTTTCATTTACTTCAAGTTTAGATCCATTATAAATACATCCATTACATATACCTATAACAATAAAATGAGTGAAATTCTAATGGCTATGAAAGAGAGAGAAGTTAAATTGTCGAAAACTAATAAATCAAAATTACCTCCTGTAAATCCTGGCCTTTTGGGCACCGCGTGGTGATGATCCGAAATCGGTATATATATTTCAGGTACTGAAATCAATCATTCAATCATATAACTTGTCTGATCTTTTTGAAATGTTTCAGTAACAAAGGTAGCTTCAGTGTCTGAGATGATTACCATACCTACAAAACTGCGAGATAGTTAATTAATATAAGTTTTTTTTTAAAACAGCGCCATCTAGTATCAATCTTATATATTATGTAGTCTCATGGAATTGCCAGTATGATAACAATACTTTTTATAGAATAACTACCAGTTTTTTCCTACTGCCAATGACTTTGTTTTTAATTATTCATTGTCATTATAATTGTTGCCTTGCCGCTATTTCCAAGCACTGAGAACCGATTGACTTTTTAAGCCAACTGGCAAAAAAGAAATCTACAATATTTTTGGTTTCAATTTATGTTCATCTTCAGATAAAGTGGTCTCAACAATCGTACGATGACATTCGATGATCTTCACAAGTTCTCGAAAACTATTAAACTAATAATATTATGAGGATAAAACATTTCTCGGAATAAACTGCTAAAAGAAAAGTACTGACGCCTACAAAAATAGAAATAGCAATAAATCATACTTACAATAAACACTAAATATAACGAGAAGGCGACTTGGAAAGCGTTATATGTTAACATAACCTTGTTCAGTTTCAGTGGTTCTCTATTCTTCATGTAGGCTGGTAAAAGTTTTAAAACAATTACTAGGTACAGGCTTAAAACAATAGCTAGGCCTGCTAATGTCTGTTCTAGCGTCCATACTTGTATAGTATCTGAAATCGAGATCATTCGGTATCGAGACTACATATTAAAGAACGAAAAAATTAACACACGATTGCAATGACTTTTATATAAATGAAATAAAGCTCTTTATCGTGTTTTATCAATGGCTGCTGACTACTAGAAAGCTTCTTTTAAAATGTTATTATCATCATCAACAGCCTTTAATAGTCTACTGGTGGACATTAGCCTCTCCTTAGAAAGGAGGTTTCGGCCCACTATACCACGCTGGGCAGCCGGGTTGGAATAAGGTCGGTTTCAAGTTATCCTTCAGTGTTGTTTTCAAAATGTATTACTTTCAATTCATGGAGGGAGAGGCAAGGAGAACCATCTCTATGTATGAAAAGTGTCCGTAAAACACGTAGAAAAGGGTGGCACTGCGGTAGCCTAGGATACATTTTAAAGAAATCGCCTAAAGTAATTAGAATAAAAAAATAAAATCACGTAAACAGTTGAGGTTTAGTATACTGGCATTTTACTAACTATTCTAGTCATGTTTTTTTTTAATAATTTCAACTTAGCACACTTTACTCCATCTACAACAGCTATGTTCCTATTGTAGATTTTCTACGCCAGCGACCTCTATATACAGTATACAACTGGACACTTTTTTCAACTATCCCCAATTTATGTAAACTGCACAGGCCAACACCTCCTTTGCAAGGAGAGGCCTATGTCCAGCAGTGGACTAATAAAATACAGACCTTTTAATAAAGATACTTGAAAAAGTGACTCTTGCATGATTTTCAACCAGCAACGATTAATTGGAAATCGTATCAGATATATGTAATCCTACTGGAATTTCAGTCTCAAACATTGGCCCGTTTGCTCATTAGCCTCTATACTGTAAATTAAAAAAAAACACGCAGCTGGAGCATGTATGTGACCACGCATACATGCCCTACAAGGGAATCAGCTGATTCCCTCAATGTGTTAAAAATGGTCAACCATCAATAGACTGACCTGACCAGGATTGCTTAACTTTGCAGTGTGCTAACCTATTGTTTTACCACTTATCCACGAGCTCACCACCTAAGTTAGAGCACTATAAGTTAGTGAATAGGTTACCTGCCCTTTGTTGATATTTATAAGTTGTAACAATGTTACTTTATTATGCTAATAATATATGTGAACTTACTAACAATACAACATTTCGATGCAAATAACTGTTTTATTCGTTGTTCTACCGTTTTAGTTAAGATACTTAAACACTTAATGCTTTGTTAGATATGTATCAAAGTACAGGAGCTGCAAATGCATTGTTTCTAAAATTACAATTAGTAATTAGTGGTTAGTGACCCTAACTGCTAAACCGGAGGTGGCGGGTTCGATTCCCACCCAGGACAAATATTGTGTGATGAGTACGCTCATTTGTACTGTGTCTGGGTGTAATTTATCTATAATATGTATCCATTTAAATATTTATCAGAAGTCTGGTTACCATAGTACAAGCTCTGCCTTGTTATGGATCAGACGGCCGTTTGTGAGAAGTGTGAGATACATTAAAAAATTTGAGGAGTCAGCAATAGCTGACTCCTCAATTTTTTTTATTAATTTTTTATTATTATTTTTTACGAATACGTAAAAAATTATTATTTTTTACGAATACGTAAAAAATTATTATTTTTTACGAATACGTAAAAAATAATAATAAATTCACTTCCCTCCTTAGCAAAGCGGAAGACAAAACGAAGTGAAAATATGCATACGCCCTTTTAAACATGGAACAGAACGGACACTAAATCTTATGGGTCCTAAGTCAGCTTTATTTCATTTCTATAATATGTATGGCAGAACACGCACGGAAATTGTTGCACGGAGTTGACACAAGATCCTCATAGTATACCGCCCTAATTGTCACCTATAAGCTATTTAGCATTATATTACGTTGATTGTACCAAAGACTACATTCCCAGAGGATATGGTGAGCAGACTATTTACAATCAGAGCCAGGTGTCGAACATTAACAGTAGTCGCATATAAAATCTAACATCTGCTAATTTATCTGACGGCCAACTCTAAAATCGCGATCGCTTATAGGTCAATTAAAATAGCATGCGCTTTTCCGCCTTGCGTCTCTTTTCGAGAAATCATTCCCACAGATTATAGAAAAGTCAAAGAAAAGCCATTACATAAGAAAAGGTACTTACTTGTTGCAACTGATTCAAAGTTTTTGTCCATCACTTTTATTCGGCTATCCATCTTAAATTTGTAACTAAAGACAGTTTTATTTACGTTACTTTCTGACAAGTCAATCTTTGTTAATGACGATTCGAAAGGAAATTCATATAAAGAAATATAACATAATGAAATGCATTGTTTCATTGCACTATGTATTTGCCATTGTATTCAAATAAAATGCGTTCTACTTTTTTTGGTATATTTAACATTGTGTTGTAGTAGGTTTGTTTGTCAACCGATATAGTTTTGATGATTGCTAGTTACTGCCTTACACAATTCGATGGTGAGATAATTTGAACTAACTCAAAACTTTTAAAAATAATGAGATACATAAACCTTTGCTTTGAAAAAATATGTCTGAAGCGGAAAACAAATTAGATCGAAATTGAGTTCTGATTTACTCTTAATCTCTCAAATATCGAGCAACAGCATTTAATAGTCCACTGCTGGACAAAAGCCAGGAGAAAGAGAGGAGGAGAAAGAGAGAAAGGAGTTTTGGCCTACGATACCACGCTGGCCAGACGGGTTGGTACAGGGATTGTGTCAAGTTTCCTTCTCTTTCCAGGGTTGCTGTCCTGCTTTATTTGCTGTGGTCGGTGTGGAGGAACGGGTGTCATGTCCCTCCAGCACAAAGGGAGGATCCTCCGACCAGGCGAGGTGATCATGCCTGGCGGGCCGCGGCCCAAATATCATGAAAGATCATATCATAAATCACAAATATCATAAAAGGGTATTCTCGTAGTAAAGTATTAAGCATCCAACGTTGACTGTAATATGATTATATCGTATTGTGACCGAAATTTAAATCATATCATTTTATTAATTATAAGGGAACTTTTGACTCACATTCCGAAACTAAGTGTAAAAGCTAGACCCACCCAGATGTAAGATTTTCACTTACTCCACTTAGTTATTTTTTCTCTTCTTTCGGTTCTAATTCTTAACTTAAATATTTGAAAGCGACTGCGATAAAAGCTAGTATTTCAAGTAACGGCTTATTATAACTTAGTATGTATCAGAAACATGTCAGGAGCGTACGACACTTATGTAAGTACGTATGTGTATTCTACAGTACTCAAAATACATTAATTCAAACCTCTATAGTAGAGAATAGACACTGTTTAATGTCTTTTTAATAAGATACAAGACCGTTTCTGGACTGAAAGAAAGAGGGTAATGATTTTCAAGCAAATGCATGTTTGTAGTTATTTTAGAGCTAGTGACTTGGGACTCTTCGGCTGTTGTTACTTCTAGCTATAGTAATGTAACCCTAATATGCTTCACCTACGAGGTCAAACGAACAGACGGGTCGTCTGATTGTAGGCCACGACCGCTGCCCATTGATATTTGCATCTCAAGAGTCTCAATTGCGTTGCCGCCCTAATGCCTCAGAATCAGGGTTAAAGGAGATTTGGGTTGGGTCCAGCTTGCTGCAGAAAGTGGTAGAGGGCCTATTCTCGCAACGTACTCTTTGGCCGGAGAACGTGGATGATGTTCCATCCGTCCGAGATTTGGAGGTAGGGGAGGCTGTTCTACGGATCCGTTCAAAGAAGACCGCCCCAGGGCCAGACGGGATATCAAGTGCTGGCCTTAGCCCTCAACCACATTGCAGACCGCCTCATTAGACATTGCCAACGCATTCTATAGTCTGCCATGCAGCTGCATCAGGGAAGCACTCCACTATCCAGAGTACTTGAGGCGGCTGGTGGCAGATTATTTAGAGGAGCGTACCGTCGTGTACGAGGACGGAGATGGTAATCTGAAGTCTAGGCCCATGTCGTGCGGTGTACCGCAGGAGTCTGTTCTTGGACCCCTCTCATGAAACACACGGTACGACTGAGCCCTTCAAACTGATTTTCACCCTAGGCTAGGTGTAATTTATTCCGCCGATGATACATTAGGCTGAGCCCAAGGGGCAAACTTACAAGAGGCGGCACGCCTGGCCACCTATAATGGTAGGCATTGAAGCACTGGGCTTACGGGTGGCCCCGGGTAAGACGGAGGCCATCTTATTTCATGGGCCCCGTCGTGTTCCTCCCCGAAAGTGAAGAATGATCTCCGATTTCTATGAGCGCTGATTACTTGGTTGGTTTATCAAACCCACGTCCAGCTGAGCAGATATTTTTGTATAACCGTAATAATTCGAACATTGAACCATGTGGTCGAACTAATAAGTATAGGTTTGGTATATAGGTAATAAAATATTAATAGATGTGGGTGCTGTATTTAATATGGCAGGCACTCTGAATGAACACAGGAGGGGGTCATATACCCGCCGTAGATGGCCCGAGGTACGTCGGGGTACCAGGGATTATCTTTCCAGGGTAGACCTGGTTCCCCGGCTACTGGTACCCGAGACTTCGTACGGTTTCGATTTCCGCACAAAAAAATAAAGGCACTCGTACGTGTTAAATAGAGCAACAGCGTAACCAATAAACTACTCGTAAAACTTAAAATTTTTGAGCCTTTCTGTCCAAAAAAATGGGAATTACCGGTCTGTAACACAAAAAGAAGTAACACTTGAAATATACCCTATACCAACGCAGTCAGCGTGGTATGGTATGCGAAAATCTCCTTTCTAAGGCTATCCTTAGACTTTAATAGTCCACTGCTGGACATAGGCCTATATATCCAGTAGTGGAATATTAAAGTCGCTGTCGATGATGATGATGATGATGCGTTGGTATAGGGTACTCATGTACGTCGTACGGAACATGGTGGCCTTGACAGCTAAACAAACTGAAAGGGATGCTTAAAATTCATACCTACCTTCATGAAAGTATAACTGTAATTATATAAGGTACATTCTGAATGTAATAAAAAAAATTGCTTTATTTAAGGTCCAGTGTTTATAGGTTTAGTTTAGACTTTCTCAAGAGCTCACAACTGTATATGTGTATAAATGAATATAGGTGCTAATGTACTTTTACTAGGCGTTATGTAAACAGTTATAATCGTGGTTATAATAATTATGATACATTATATTTTAAATATAAGACTCCTAAACTAGGAATATGTCTATCTCAATATACATATAACCTATAAATATAGGATGGTAAAATATTAATAGTTGTGGTTGCTCTTTTTAAAGTGGCAGGCACTCTTAATATCTAACCTACGTATTAAATGGAGCAAGAGCGTTACCAACAAACTGAAATCTGATATATTTATGTATATATATTAAATTAGGAAACTAAAAAAAAAACCTGACTGTAAAAATGTATTCTTAAATTTAACAAACTCAAGATTCGTCACAGCAACTGGTCCTATACTGTCCGCATGCAACGACTTCCCTCCACTGGTTGTCGGACCACCTCGTATCACTCATAATTAAGAGGAATTCAAATAAGTACATCTAAAGCGTAAACATCCATCAAGTCGTTAAGGTTACGGAGAGAAACGCAAAAGAAATCTAGGACCAATCTGCGCAAGATGGTTGGCAGGAGCTGTATGCGAGAAACCGTAAATCGATCTAATAATAAATTGTTTATTACTCCGATAACTAAGACTCAAATATGTTAGTAACAATTTGAACTAACAGCGAACTGGCACTCAAAGATGTTAGTAAGTATTTGAACTAACAGCTAACTGGTGCTCAAAGATGTTAGTAAGTATTTAAACTAACAGCTAACTGACACTCAAAGATGTTAGTAACTATTTGAACTAACAGCTAACTGACACTCAAAGATGTTAGTAAGTATTTGAACTAACAGCTAACTGGCACTCAAAGTTGTTAGTAACTATTTGAACTAACAGCTAACTGACACTCAAAGATGTTAGTAAGTATTTGAACTAACAGCTAACTGGCACTCAAAGATGTTAGTAACTATTTGAACTAACAGCTAACTGACACTAGCACAAGATGTTAGAAGTAACTATTTGAACTAACAGCTAACTGACACTCAAAGATGTTAGTAAGTATTTGAACTAACAGCTAACAGACACTCAAAGATGTTAGTAAAGTATTTGAACTAAGAGCTAAGGGCACTTGCTAGGGGGGGAGCTTACTACTGACCTCAAAGATGTTAGTAACTATTTGAACTAACAGCTAACCTGACACCTCAAGATGTTAGTAAGTATTTGAACTAACAGCTAACTTGCACTCAAAGAGTTTAGTAAAGTATTTGAACTAACAGCTAACTGGCACCAAGAAGATGTAGTAACTATTTGAACTAACAGCTAACTGACACTCAAAGATGTTAGTAAGTATTTGAACTAACAGCTAACTGGCACTCAAAGATGTTAGTAAGTATTTGAACTAACAGCTAACTGGCACTCAAAGATGTTAGTAAGTATTTGAACTAACAGCTAACTGGCACTCAAAGATGTTAGTAACTATTTGAAACTAACAGCTAACTGACACAGAAAGATGTTAGTAACTATTTGAACTAACAGCTAACTGACACAGAAAGATGTTAGTAACTATTTGAACTAACAGATAACTGACACTCAAAGATGTTAGTAAGTATTTGAACTAAGAGCTAACTGGCACTCAAAGATGTTAGTAACTATTTGAACTAACAGCTAACTGACACTCAAAGATGTTAGTAAGTATTTGAACTAACAGCTAACTGGCACTCAAAGATGTTAGTAAGTATTTGAACTAACAGCTAACTGGCACTCAAAGATGTTAGTAACTATTTGAACTAACAGCTAACTGACACTCAAAGATGTTAGTAAGTATTTGAACTAACAGCTAACTGGCACTCAAAGATGTTAGTAAGTATTTGAACTAACAGCTAACAGGCACTCAAAGATGTTAGTAACTATTTGAACTAACAGCTAACTGACCCTGAAAGAAGTTAGTAACTATTTGAACTAACAGCTAACTGACACAGAAAGATGTTAGTAACTATTTGAACTAACAGCTAACTGACACAGAAAGATGTTAGTAACTATTTGAACTAACAGCTAACTGACACAGAAAGATGTTAGTAACTATTTGAACTAACAGATAACTGACACTCAAAGATGTTAGTAAGTATTTGAACTAAGCAAGCTAACTGGCACTCACAAGATGT